TATTTCCAACAGAGCCAGTATCACATCAGCCGGCTTCATCAGGACTGGAGCCAGGAGCGAGTGAAGTATTCGGAACTGCAGGCTGACAATTGGCGGTCACTGAGCGATCAAGTGGAAGGAATGCCACTGGGTGATTAGACTTCGACAGGGCCCAGTCTGTTCCCCGTGTCGTGGTTGGCACGTATGTCTCGATAAGTGTGTGTGACTTGTCAATGTGGGAATTACCGGCGGTAGTCTTTGCTCAGGATCTTGTCACGTTTATTTGCTTCTCACACGCATAATGTCTCGCTTATTTTCCCCTCTGTTCCGCTGTGTTTGCTACGACGCTGTTCCATCTATGCTGCTGTGTTGTTTAGCCTGAAATCCGTTGTCTTCTCCTTGATTTTTTTGCCCGTGATGTGTTTGTTTGTCATGCTTTCAAGCGACTCCTGTTCTCTCCGTGGTCGGCTGCAGATTGCAGGGATGATCTTCTGACACATGGTTGGGTTGCTTTTTGGGACTGACCTGCAGGAGAGAGAACACACTTGCATGCAGAACCAAGTCAAATTAGGCATTCATCGTGGGTCCATCTGTCTGTCTGCCTCGTGCTGGTAATTTTTCCTCCCAGGTGACTTGACTTCAAGTGACTGGTGGGTTATCCCCAAATTTTCCATGAGTAGTAAGTAGTAGACCCAACAGGCACTGGGGCTATATCCACGCATTTTGTAAGTGCGTAGTACTCGAAATCGAATTTATCCCAACCATCACCATAGGAAAAATAATCGCCAAACTCTTTTATTAACAAATACATCAATTGAGCTAGTACTAGTACTTTACCAGTACTACTTAGTAGTAGCAGTAGTTAGACAATGTATTCGCGCGCTAGCCGGGTTAAATAAAAGCGAAGACATCATCACCCACAGTACCCCTGACCCTGATTGGCTGGTTACAGAACTACGCAGTACTTAGTTGCAGTCAGGAACTAAGCAAGTACTACTATAGTACACATACGTATCAATTCTCGAATCATTCAGTTCCTGCCTGTTCACGTGGGATTCATCGTGCAGGGAGCTGCATATAATGACTACTCTAGTAGTTGATTGCTGAGCATTGCTAATACTACTTAGTAAGGAGTCGTATTTAGTGGAATAGATATTAGTGTGATTACTGACTCAAGCAAGATCTGTATTCTGCTGATGCAGTAGATAGATAGATCCATCGGTTGGTTTTTCATGGATGTGTCATCTCATCACACACTAGTAGTATATGTAGTTCAGGTTTGGGGGTGGGGGTGGAGATGGTATGATTGATGCCTGCATCGACTTTGATTTTATTTTCCCTTCTTTTCAATCTTTCAATTGAAGTTGCGACTACATACTGCGAGTCTTGGGAAGAATCATAGTGGTGGAAATATTTTGGAAAAGAAGGAGGGGTGAGTGACTTTTGATACTATTACAATAGTTCGATGGGTTTTGTGTTACCTTTCCTGTGTATTATTACTTTTGAACTCCAATAGTGCTATTGGGGAGACTAGAGGGGGTAGTGTGGTGATATTGTTATAGTGGTAGTATTGCTTTTGTTATCATGCTGATAAGTAATTGTTGCTGGGTCGAAGCAGTCACAGTGCTTTTGTTGGTAGACTTTCTAAAGTAATACTAATTGCATAATTGCATTTGCCATAGTATCCCGGTTGCGATATACTAACTCGAAGTGACAAGGGCATATTATTAGATGCTATGATTTAGTCGTCCTTCATTGTATTATGGCTTGATTGTCAGCAGATAGTTATGAATGTGACAAGTCGGCTTATGTTCACTGGCTGGTTGATATTGCAGAATATACTAATACGGCACTGTAGCAGATGTAGTCAGTATATCGGACAGTGTTCAATGAAAGTGGTACTGTGTACCACTATAACAAACAGTAGACAACTAGATAGAGTTCGAAGCATCTCGATTATGCTTCAATGCTATCATCTTACTGTAATGTCCACTTGACCACCTCCGTGGGGTTGCAGTGGCACAGACTCGAGTCTCTAAATGAATTGTAGACATAATTGAGTTTGCCTCAAAGCTTATTTGGCATGATGGTGTGAGAACACTTGAAGTGCCTTCGTCGAGGCAACTACCTCTCGTGTTGAACGTGATAGATCTATCCAACTGGTCTTGTTCTTTCATTACTTTCAGTGTTCCCCTGCAGCTAGTAGACAACCTATGAAGGCTTAAGGCTTTTCTCCATGCAGCTCACTCAACGGCTAGAATTGGGTCTCCATGCCTGCCAAGGCAAACGGGCATTGGATTGGGCTCTGTTTGAACTTTATTCTTGTTCACTCTGTATGCCTGGATGCAGAGTACAGTGCAGCATCACATACCTCGCATGCACACCTACCTTCCTCGTGCAGTGTAGACAATATTTAGCCGCCGTAATAGCATAGAGCAGAGTCAATTGTTTGCACAGCCTACCTGCCACTCATCATGCAAGTTGCAAGTGTTTGGCGCGCTAATTATAAGCGGACATTTTCAGTCTGTCACACTCACACACTACCTACAAACCAGGTATATCTGCATGGGATATGGCTGCTGCTGTCTAGACCAGACACGTCAGGGTAGTGTAGGTTTTGTGGAGGTGGACTGAATCTGCAGCATGTTGTTTGCGGGCTTTCAGTTTCTGCTTCGTGCTCTTGTAAGCATATCGAGGAGAGATTCTCAGATGCAGTAGAAAAGTCATGGCTATTTTTGGATGTCTGTCACAGGTTTTTACCCGCCCATTTCCGGACCTAGTCCACAAGAATAGACATTGGGATAAAATCTGTATAAGTTGGATGGTATGGCAAACACCTCAAGTCAAATCCGACAGTGTTCCAGAGAAGCGCTTGAACGGTAGAGTCCTCTATGAAGGCAACAGAAGGAGTAAGCGAAGGTGTACCTGTTCTAAGTATCTGGTGTACCTGACTCGCTGGATCTAGTCCACACTAGACCCAACCGGCACAGTCAATCAGAGTGCTTTCCCTTGGGGAGAGTAATCGGAGAGCGCTGGACCTGGAATGGAGACGGAAGTGGGTGGATTGAACTACCACTGACTTACCAGATTGGTAGTAAGCGGGAAAGAGACCGTGGGCAAGGCAGCGTAAGTGGCGGGCGAGAGAAGAAGTTCTAAGTGGGCAGGAGGCAGATGGACGGAGGGGCTGCTCCCCACTGTGGAGTTGACACTAACGGGTTAGTGTGGCTCACCGCCAATAAAGACCGGCAGGAAAAGTCTCGGCAGCCTCGCAGGGCGAAGAGCGATAAGCCCTCCGGCTTGCCCGAGCGGGTAAGGTGGGTGATGTTGGTTGGGTGCAGTGGTGTAGCCCCGATCTCATGTAGAGAGAGAGGGAAAGGTCGTGGTACGTGATTGGTACCAGCTGGTGTGTGTGTGTGCTGAATGATGATGAGGAGAATGTTTGGTGACAAGTGACTGGTGACACGGTCTCCCTTCACACCTGTCATGGTCTGGAGCAGCCATGGAGATGAGGTTTTGACACGAGATCAAGCTTATCCTGCATCCTTCCATCTGGTACATGCCACAAAGTTGGCTAGTTACAGTATCTAGGCCTTCCATCTATCGAGTTATCTATCTCCAGGTTACACGAGAAATCTCCCCAGCGGTAGGTCAGATCGGGGGGAACTAGTCTGGGGCAAAAGAGACAGGTGGTACTGCTGCTGATTGATGTTCGGAGAAGTGAGAAAACATCGGCTACTTATCTAGTACATCGTGACTATCAATAGATGGATGGAATCAAGTCCCGGAGGAACCGGGAGAGAGAAGAGAAAACCAAGTTGAAGAGCGGGTTCAACTTCTACGCGAGGTCACCAAGTGGGATGCCAACCAAGTATTCTTTGTCATTGCCAAGGGATACTCGGGAAATGAAGGAAGAGAGGGAGAGAGAGTAAGCTGAGGATGTGTAGACTGTAGAATACACAGCTGGTAAGAAGAAGAAAATAGTGACTAGAAACGGGCGAGAAGAGGAAACGAAGCAATCTAAAAACGAGAGTCCCGCTCTGCCAAGCCTTAAAATTGTTCGTTCCGCGAACGACCATGGATCCTCCCTCTTACTCTCTCTCCCTCTTACTATCTACTGACTAAACTAAACTTTAGTTTTACAGTGGCAGAGAAAGAAGGGGAAAAAGAGAGTTATTCGCACCATTCCCCGCCCGGTGCTTCCTTCGCCCCCGTCACCTTTTACCTGCGTAATCGCATTCGTTTCGGGTGCTGGGCTGCATCCAGTCCCCCTCCCAAGTTCCCAACCTTCGCATCAAATCAAGCGTCACGATGCCGCTCGGGCACTGGGTCTCGGGCTTGGTTGTGGTCTTGGTATCCCTATCATCTTCATGAAGGAAATTTCCGGTCTTCTGGTCCCGGCCATTCGCCAGTCTTTGCCCAGACGCCCAGTCGTTCTTGGTTTTTTCTTGTCCCTCCACGCTTTTCTCTGTCTGCCTTGGTGTTGGTGCTGGGCTGAGAGAAACCTGGAGCTTCTCTTTCTTTCCCCGTTTCTTCTACTACTACTAGTCTACTTTCCTACTTACTTCTCTTCTCTCCCGCCCTTTCTTTTCTTGGGACGCATTTCCTCTTACCTACTTCCTACTCACTCCTCCCTAACTCCCCGGTCTTTTCTCCTCCCTCTGACCGCATCCCTCTTACCTTTTTACCTCTCTATCTCTTTATTTTCCACCTTGAGCGGTTCCCTTTTCTGGCGGAGTCGGTCAATATTATCGGAGATCTTCCGGATAAACCATCCATTGCCTCTTCTGGTAAGCCCGGAACCTCTCTCTCTCTTCCTCTCACCCTCCCTCCCACCTCATAGTCTACTTTCCTTCTCGATGGTTACACGGACCAACTCTTTTTCCTTTTTTTCTCCTTCTACTACCATCCCTTTTTCTTCCTTTCCCCCGGAACTTATCTCACGTCCAGCGCTCACCTAGGCATCTCATCTTCCCCCTTGCAGGACGCACCCGCGACGCCCTTGGAACGACCGCGCCGCCTCGCCCCCCCCTCCCTATCCTCCTCCGTCCTCGCCTATTCTCCGCGGCCTCCGTCGCCCTCCAGCTCGGTCCGCGTTTACTGATCCCCCCGAGGTATGCGGGAACCCGGCGCGTTGGTTGATTACAGTTGAGGTGGATCTCCCTTGCTTGTTGAATTGCGCATTGGTCCGATCGGTGGAGGTAATTCCGGGATTTACGGCGCCTGGTGCAAGGCTATATCGGGGTGAAGATCACGGGCTGCGCGGGGAGGACTTAATCAAGCCATCCCGCAGCTCGAGCAAGCGCCCGCCGCACGACCTCTGTAGCTAGTTCGGGACCCCGTCCGCCCGTCGCAAACCATGGCGTGGGACCATTTGGACATCGATAAGCCACATCTGGCTTACATGATTCTAGGTGGCTTCACCAGTCTGTTCATGCTGTGCTCTTTGTTTGTGAAGGAGAAGCTGTACATCGGTGAAGCCACCGTGGCTACCCTTTGCGGTATCATTTTCGGGCCTCATGCGGCCAACCTGTTTAATCCCAACTCGTGGGGCAATGTCGACAAGATCACCCTCGAGTGCTCTCGCATCGTCCTGGTCGTCCAGTGTTTCGCCGTCGGTGTCGAATTGCCCAAGGCGTACATGGAACGTCACTGGAAATCTGTCTTTCTGCTGCTGGTACCCGTCATGACCTGGGGCTGGCTGGTGACTAGTCTGTTCATCTGGTGGATGGTGCCTCCCCTCTCCTGGCTGGAGAGTCTCGTGTGCGCCGCGTGCGTCACCGCCACCGATCCCGTCTTGGCCTCGTCCGTCGTAGGTAAGGGTAAATTCGCGCGACGAGTTCCCAAGCACTTGAGAGACTTGTTGTCGGCCGAGTCGGGCTGCAACGATGGCATGGCCTTCCCCTTCATTTACCTGGGCTTCTACATCTGGCGCTACCGCCCTAATGCCGGGGAGGTGTCGCTCAACTGGTTCTGCATCACCATCCTCTACGAGTGCGTGTTCGGCGCAATCTTTGGCTTCGTAATTGGCTACCTCGCGCGTCATTCCATCAAATTCGCCGAGCGCAAGGGCTTGATTGATCGTGAGAGTTTCCTGGTCTTCTACTTCGTGCTGGCCGTCTTTTGCGCCGGCTCAGGCAGTCTGCTGGGCATGGACGATCTTCTGATAGGCTTCTCGGCGGGCGTCGGTTTCAGTAACGACGGTTGGTTTACGGAGAAAACAGAAGAGTCGCACGTGTCCAACGTCATCGATCTCCTGCTCAACTTGGCCTACTTTGTCTACTTCGGAGCCATCATCCCTTGGGAGGACTATAACAACCCGGATATTGGGCTCGTGCCGTGGCGACTCGTAGTCATCGCTCTCCTCGTCATTTTCTTCCGCCGCATCCCTGTCATGTTGATGTTGAAACCTATCATCCCGGACGTGAAAACGTGGCGCGAGGCCCTCTTCGCCGGCCACTTCGGCCCCATTGGTGTCGGAGCCATCTTCGCTTCCATCCTGGCTCGGGCGGAGCTAGAATCGGACAGCACGGAGCCCTGGTCGGAGGCTGATTTGCCAGGTCCGGGAAGTTCTAATTACTATATCATACAGTTGATCTGGCCCGTCACGACCTTCATGGTCATCTCCTCGATCTTGGTCCATGGTTCATCCATTGCCGTCTTCACCCTAGGAAAGCGCATCAACACCTTGACCATCACGCTCTCCTACACCACCGCCAACGAGGAGGGTCCTTCATGGATGAACCGTTTGCCCCGCGTGCAATCCCTTGCCAAAGGATCCATGTCGTTCCGGAAACCGGATGAGGACGAATCGTCGAATGAGCCGGAATATCCCCCGGGAACCCTGCCCCCCATTGGAGTCCCAGGTAATTTTCTGCGTCGGGTTCGCGACGAAGATACGGAGTCGACGGGTGGTAAATCTGCGCGGAGACGCCGCAGACGTCGCAGACGCACCGACGGCGCCGGTGGCCCGATCAGTCAGTCAGCTATCGCCCCTCAACGCCCGCTGGAGACGGAGTCGGATGAGCAAAAGGAAAAGAGTGATGAATCCAGGGAACGCGACAAGATCGAACGCGAGGCGTCCCCGCCCTCCAAGGAAGGCGATAAGTTTGGACGCGAGCCTGCACTCGAAGTTTATCTGGAAGGTCACAACATGGTCATGGAAGATGAAGAAGGCAACGTTCTCAAGGTCGAGGACATCAGTCACATGTCCACCGAGGAGCAGCAGCGTCATATGGAAGAACAACGCCAGAAGCTGCAGCAACAATCGGATGAATACGCTAAATCCCGCGGCCAGCCTCATGGCAGCAGGACTGAAGGAGAGGAGATTGAGCAGGCCATTGGCGAAAAGACCGGGCACCCGCTGGACAAGGCTCGTAAACGTTTTGGCCAGTGGATTGGCCTTGGGAAAGGTCGTGCCGAAGACCAAGAGGCCAAGGAGGCCAGAAAGACTGAGGAAAAGAAGAAGGCTGAAGAAGCATCGAAGAAGCCTGCCAAGGCGAAAGGTCGCTCCGCTCACGCCTATCAATTCGGCAACACCATCATTGTCGAGGACGAAGATGGAGAAGTTATCAAGAAGTATTCCATTCCTTCTGGGGATAAACCCGAGACGGATGCTCCTGTTCGTCGCGGACTGACAAGGATGGGTACATGGTTCGGTATGGAAGAGGAAGGCGAAACCTCGCAGGCCGCCCGCAAGGCTGCGCAAGACGACTGGCTGGCGGATGATGGTCTGCGTTTCACCCTGGCTGATGACAATGATGTTGGCAAGAGAGGCGTCGAGCACAAGGGTCGCCGCATGACCAAACATGAATTTGCCCAACAGATTCGTAACCTTGGTCCAAAAGCACGTCGTGATGTGGTTGAAGAGACCGACGCTCCCGAGCGGGTCAAGAAGGCGGCTCGCCAGGAGGCTCAGAAGGCTGAGAAGGCTGAATCGCAAGAGCGCCGCCGTTCAGACCCTGGAGTGGCCTCTCGGCCTACCCCTGCCCCTGCCCCCGTCGCCGAAGATGACGAATCCGGCACCGGAAGCGAATTCACGGACGACGAATCGGACGTGGAAGTGCCCGGCGACATTGCCGCTTCGTTGGCACGGTTCACACGTGGCACAGCAGCTGAGGAGCGTCGCAGTTCCCACCTCAGTCCAACATCCACGTCTCCGAGATCGCGTCCCCGGTCACGACGGGATTCCGATGATGATGGCACGGAACGTATTCCCCCTGCTCAACTTCGCGAAGCGGCCGGACTCACCCGTCCTCCCCAGCAAGCGGATTTGGATGACACGGGTGAAACGCCAGCGGAACGCCGCCGTCGTCTGGCTGCGCTTGGTGAAATCAATGACTCGGAGGATTCCGACGATCCGGATGTTCTTCTAGAAGAAACGGATGATGAGGGCAATGATGCAGAGGCGAAGGTCTCCTTTGCCGACGGCACGAAGCCTCCAACCAGCAGACAACAGTCGGGCGAGAACTCCAGTGAGGGACAAGAGAATAGTTCTCCTTACAACCGACACAGTCGCAGTCAAAGTCGACGGAGCATCTCCTGGGGCGGCGAGAAGGGCCGTGAAAATTGAGACAATCCCACGAAAAATGCAGCAAACATAGAGTGAGGGATAATGTGAACTTCGGGCAGTGAAGCTGAAAGGGAAATTCTCTCAAAGGGGGTAATATAAGAGCCCAAGGAGAGGGGGCAAAAGAAAAGGGGAGGGCGATGAAACCAAAGCCACCTTGCGGTGTAGAAAGCTCTTCTTTTCTACTGAGCCAAGAATCAGCAGGTCCTTCCTAGAGCTCGGTTATGGGTTTGCTTGTTCTTGAGCATCTGGTGTTCGTTTTGCATGCATGGCTGGGTGCGATCATGTATAGAGCGCGCTTTCACTTTTTTTGTGTAACTACTTTACCCTTTTACTTGCATTTGTTTGTTGACCCACCGCCTGCTGGTGCCCCGCGCTGTGCAACCCAGCCAGCTCAGCCCAGCTGCCTCTTGCTGTGGTGTACTGTGGATCAGTACTATTGCTACTGTTATTGACTGATAGAATGATGGATGGGATGGACTTGCTGACCTGTGGTGCCTACGTTTAGCACCATGATCTTGTAATGGGTACGAGAAGTACATATATGACATAGTATACTATTTCTTTCAGTATCTTCGTTTCTTCCTTCCACTTATATACTACAACTAAGTCAATCTCAACTGCTCATTAGTACATCAGTTGATCAGTGCGGTAGTAGTACTACTACTAATAACTGCCTAGATAGTACTGAAACTAAAGCCACACTTGGTACTATCAGATTTAGATTTCTGTAGTAACGCCACAGCACTAAAATATACTTTCTCATGGCCCCCTATCATGAACCATCAGTACTTACTAGAGATAAACAGACACCCCGGACTTTCAGACTCAGTTACTACTGGTAGTAGTAGTAATTTCTACACTGCAGCAGCATCATTACTACTGCTAAACTAGCATGTGAAATCCAACTAATCAGGTAGTAAGTACTATGTTTAGTTAGTACATTCAAGCCATGACTAAGGGATATACTTATACTTAATGTCTGGAGGATATGCCAGACTGGATACCACATAGTAATTACTGGTAGTAGTTGCCGCAAAGTAGGACACTAGTAAGTAAGTACTGTGGTGATTACTAGTTACTGACTAGTATGTATGTTCAAAGACGAATAATAGTAGGTTCAGCTACTAGTATACTTAACTAACCAGGGAGTAGTAATATATGTCATATAATGCTACTTATACAGTCGATTGTGATATGATTGGTTAAAGATTTCTGGAATGATCCTGATTAGACTGGCAATTATGCTGGGGTGAATGTAAGCCATCTATTTAATCTATCCATGCCGAGTTCTCTCAAATATGCGTGGAGAAATATTGAAGTGGGCATCGAAAAGTACAGGTCACGATGAATGCTGCGTAAATCCGGAAGTAGACATGATAAGTTTAGAATAAAGGTAGACAGAAATTTATTCAGAGAAATTAAGATGGTAAATAGTATGTGTTGAAACTCGGACATAAGGTAGCCAGTATGAAAGAAGAGATAGTAGTGCAGAGAGAAACCCAACAAATGCCACGCTGATTTATGAGCTTTTCCTATTCCGGGATCCCCAACACCGTAACACCGCTGATATGATGATGATGATGATGATAATCGAGACAACGAGAAGAAGCCCGCATTAATGGTTTGAGAGAAGATCGAGAAGAATGGGAGGAATGAAACGACCCCATGTCAGGGTCCGGGGGTATCTCAAGCGACAATTAAACGTGATGATGCTTCCATCGAGAATAATGCTGCGGTGCGCTGCTCACAGCACGCCGCCGGGCAGATTGATCTGTGCCTGTCGTCCCCCCTCAAAGCCGGCACTATTCGGTGCAGACCCTCCCCCGGAATACATGCCGCTATCGATGGGATGGACCTGCTTTCGCAACATAAACATGGGCTTGCGTCCTTCCTTTTCGAGCTGTTTGAATAGAATGAGTGGGCGTTCCTCGAGCCCAAGACATCGTTCTTGATCACCGTATACAATGTATAGTGCATATTGTTTCCAATCCGCGTTGATGTTGTACTTTTTGAGTGCAGCCGGAAGAACCTTGTGGCATGGATCGTCCATCGACACGCGGAAAGACTTGAAGATCTCCACGCTAGGTGGATCCTGAGTCGCCCTTGAATCTGAACGGGTGGGGATATCGGGGCGCGTAGATTGTGTTGGTGTAGGGTTTAGACGATCCGGCCGCGACTGTGACGCCGCGGTATCGTCGTGGTGGTTGTGAGAAACATGATTTATGCTGCTAGAACTCGGTTGTGTATATGCCCGGGAGGCTAGGGTCTGTGGAGCATATTGATTGCCTGGAGAGGTCGGGGACGGAATGCCTGGGGATAATTGCGACTTGCCGTTCAGCATAGTCAAGTGGGAGGAATTCGCGGTGGACGGATCTAGCCCATCGCTGTACATGCGACCCTCGTGGATCGACGGAGGAATATGGGTAGGGGAGTTGGTTTTGGGCGTAGTGCCGCCAGTGTGGTTACGCTTGGAGAACGTCCGAGATAGGATACTTCCAGAACGATCCAACAGAGTGATTCCGGATGGCGATGTGAGCGTCGGCCCATCATGGTATCCTTCCGACCCGGATCCTGGCACAGAAGAAGGCGGGGGCAACGGCTGCGACTTGTCTTTCGCCATCTTGAACACGGGCAGAAGCTCTTCGCGCAGTCGACGGTATTCCTCTGCAATCCGTCGCATTTCTGACTCCATAGACATGATACGGTCATCTCGTACGCGAATGGACCGAATCAACCGGGAAATATCGTCCTGAGTGGCGGTTTCGTTCATACTTTGGTCCGCGGCTACCGAGGTAAACACATTAGCAAGACAGATCACAGGCAGCATCTGCAAACCAGGGAAGTCATGGACATACAAAGCGGGATGTAGTGATCTGCATCAATCGGAATATCTTGCTTGACTTTCGTTTCGTACACGCTCTTCAAGATAGTCAATCGATGTCCGACACTCGCGATCCCCATCTCCTTGAGTTCATCATGCTTCAAAGCAATGAGCGCTTCGCCGACAATCTCATTTTCTGTTGTAACACAAGCACCACGCAGTCAGTGACCCGGACGTCTTAGCGCCTTTGTTTTGATCCCTTGGACTCACCTAGAAACGCGGCGCAGTATTGACGAAGACCAAGGGCGGCCACAAAGTTGGCACATTCCTCAGCAGTCCACTCAGTGATGATTGTTCGGGGCGATCGGGGATTCTCGTCCACATTGGCTAAAGTCGTAGGAGTATGCTCTGCTGACGGGAATTCTGATTCGGAAGGGGAGGCCTCGGAGTCGGTGGCCAGATGGGGGGAGGTAATCACGCTGCGCTCGTACTCGTCGTCCGCATCCGAGTCGGCATGATAGGAGGTATGAAGAGACATGGCGAATGAATTCATTCAAGTAACGGTGACGACGCCCCGAGACACGTAGAGGAGGGGGCTGGGGAGGACGTCGGACCGGCTAGCAGACTCAGCGAAGCGCCAGCCTCTAGACCCGAGACAAGTCGCCAAAGATTGAGCACAAAGGACGGACCCGGTCGCACAGAAGGCGTTGAAGTTGTCAATCACGGACTGACCGACGCGGATGAGGAGTGTTGGGAGCCAAACTTGGTCGAGCAGGCGTGCCACATGAACGGGAGGGACGGAAAGCGGGTGAGTTATGAGGACACCGACAGTGAAGATGGTCCGAAGGTGCGAAGCGCGGAGTTGATCTGGAGGAGATTCGGGAGGAAGGAGATAATTATGAGAGAGAGGAAATAAAAAGAGCTAGTGGAGAGGAAGAAGGCGTAAAGACGAGGAAGAAGAGACGAGGAAGCATGGAAAGCAGCCGTGATGGAAGAGGAGCGGAGGGGGATCCTGAGGCCAACAAGGCATGCAGCGACAGCGAGAGCGGGGAAGCTCGGCCAAGTTCTGGGGGTCCAACCGGAGGATGAGATGTGCCAAAGGGAGAAGAAGAAAAAGAAGAACACCCTCGTTGTTGATAGTTGGTTGGGCGATAATGAGAGATCAAACACCACGAGGCAGGGCGACTGATGAACTGGGGTGATCGCAAGAAGAAAGGGTGGACATCCACAGGCAGATGAGAGGCAGCGATGGATGAGAGCAACCGAACAAGAAGCTGGTTGGGCGCGGAGTCCAACGAACCGCCGAACGGGAAAACCAAGAGGCGCTTCTAAAGTTGGATCGCCACACGTGATGCCGGTCTGGACTCTCCGCTGCTCACTTTCCTTGTATGTACATCCATTCTACAGTCTACCCAGACAGCTCAGGCATCTCCATTTTATCATCATCCCCGTGGGTTAAGTCAATATCCTTGGTCTTACCATATGACGGGGATCGATGGCATCTACGGATTCTACTGTCGGCCGTTTATCGGCTCAGTCCGACCCCCCTCTCCAGTAACTGGCTCCGTTAATGGATCCCTCATCCTTGCTTCGTTCCCAGCCCAGATGCTGGGCAGAATCACTTGGTGACGCATCTCGCAGACAACGGGTGGATAGTCCAACCAGGAAAAAATCAGGGTTGAAGAAAATTAATTAAAAAAGGAGAGCCATCGCCGGATCCAAGCGCCAAACAATTGCTCCAAGCAGAAAACTGAAAACTGATAAGAACAAATGGTGGAAACGGGGCCCCATCCCCTGGCTGAAGTTCCGTGCGATTACTGAGGACACTAACGAAGCGCCCATCCTAGTGACCAGCACTATTATCACACAAATGCTACTAGTGTCGATGACTCGATGGGGGTTCATGCAAACCAGAAGCATCGCCCGGCAGGCTTAACGGCCAGTGGACAGAGGGGGGTTGGTTATTCCCACTATTATTCAAGCCAGGCGCTGTCAAAATTCAATAGTGCCGGAGCCTCGACGTTTTCGGATGCTCTCTGGGTCCGAATCCTCCGCTGTCATCGTGCCATTCGTTCCCCATCTCGACGCTGAATTGTCGATGAATGTCCATGCAAGGACATCCATGGCTCCATCAGAGAAAACTCTTTTCCACTCGTCTCCATCATCTTCCTCCCCTTGCCCCTTTTTTCTAGCACTTTTTACCTCCAATCCACTCGAGCTTGGATGGCCGGTGCTATATTTAACTTTCCTCGGATACTATCGCCGAAGGGCTTTGTCTCCGTGTGCCTGACTCTCCGGAGAAGTCTATTTGCACCATCGATATCCCCACCTCAGCTAGTAGATAGTAGATACAGCTTACGTATAATCGACGAGGGTCCTACGTGTAGGAGTGAATAATACTGATTCTACAGCAGATTGTAGACAACGGCCGAGTCTAAAGTCATGGCCACCGAATTTCATCCGTTGCAGCTGAGAACAATCCATACGAACGGATTCAATGACTGTGGAGCAGCCGGAGCAACACAGCACGCTTGTGTTCTACCCTTGAGCCGCCGCTATTGAGGCGGCAGTATAACACACACACAGTCTATCACTTGAATAGTATCTACTCACCAACTCAGGAGATTTTCCATCGGCCACGCCGATCACATCAGACGGGGACAGAAATATCCGATCCATACTAAGTAACAGCAAAATCTCGCACGCATGAGAATAAAACCAGCACCCTGCTATATTCCTCACCCCCCTCACCGTGCGCTGTCCACATGAATCAAGGAAGCAACTACTAAGCGCCCGGATCTGGTCCATCCTGCATTGCATGGGGGAACGACGGAACAACGGAACGACACCTGCCTTACCTCGTACATCTTATCAACATCCCTCCCTCCCCTTGCGAAGCTAGTACTAAGAACCAGCCATCCCGCAATCATGTGTCTTCTTTTATTTTTTTCCATACGGTTGTGACACCCCAATCCCTGGCATCTCGCAGCAAAATCCTTACACGAACATGTGGGTGTGAGCCAGCCAGCCATCGTTCATGCCTGCCTCCTTGTTGCTTACATGCATCAAGTACATAATGGGAGGGAGATTATTTGTGCCTCGAGGGTAGTGGAGCCCCATGTATGTCTACGTAAGTTTCGTATAATATGTAGTATATGTATACCCATACCCACCCCGGCGCAATGATTGCATTCTGGTCAAAGTCCATTCGATGCGCCAACCGCCGTTGGTGATGCTATTTATATCGGATGTACCCTGAATAGCCATGTTAAGGATATGCCCCCGCATTCTCTCTCGCGCGCGCCTATATACGCCCTATGGTAGATAAATACATACGGGAGGAGATGCAGTGCTGTGTGATGCGATGCGATGCGATGCCAGGCGGCTAACCTTCCGTAAGAATATCCGTTGGCTTCTTGTGACCGGAATTATTCAGGGCGTAGCAAACTTCCTGCATTGTGAGGTATCCTTCACGGCCCGGCATCGCTTGATGATATCCCCAAGGAATAAAGAATTCGTATTTGGGAGTTTGTCATCGGTCGGCTAGGTTATATATGTCTTGGATACTGGATCATCGTCTAGGTCGGTCTCGATATCGGGTATAACGTAGAATTCGAACTGTATTCCAGAGATAACTTCGTACATCATCGAGCCGAAGCGCGCAATGTCGGACTTGACTGAAGCGAAGTCTTCAGATACGAACATTGCCATATCCTCATCATCCGCGACAATAGTAGATTCGGTAAAATCGCACATCTGGAGGGAGAGATTCTCATAAAGCAGGAAATTGCGTGTCGCAATATCGACCACCAATACTCGCCGCTCGTGTACTCGACGGACGATATGTGCAGCTTCTTGAAGTCATTGTAATCGTCGAGTGTTGTCCACGGTATCATGGTGGATACGTAAATAGCGGCTCAGTGAACCCTGGCGTAGGTACGGCATTCGAATCTCGGTGTTCGAGATGTGATAGGGCTTTATCACTCCTGGGATAGGTCCAAGATGGCTATACGCATGTCCTTCATGCTATAGGGATTGCTTGTTTAGCTCATTCGTCTGCTCGTAGCTGACAATCGTCGTCTCAGATGCATCCTTTGGCACAGTCCAAACATTGGCCGTTTTGACTCAGTCATCCGAAGCGCATCACGCGTCCGACTCGACCAAGCCCGATCAACTCGGGACTATCGTTATAGCTCATTCTGAATATAGTCAATGAAGATAGTAGCTCTGTGGGTGGTGTCTAATCTGTTGGCTGCAGGAGTTGTGCGCATAAGACAGAGCAGCAGCAGCAGAACAGCTTCGCCGTGAGAGATACCCTATCATTTGCACTCCATAGATTCAATCCTATTATAATCTACAATCTCAAAACCCTCCAGAAATGAACGGCAAGACCTGACCACATTCATATCATGACCTCTCAACATGGTCATTACTATATAGATTAACGCTAATCAAAAGCGGCAACCCATCTTATCGGCGGTTCCTGCGCTGACCTCCGACGACCGCAAGGCTCGCCTTTCCCCGGACTAGGATTATTCTTCGCCCCCAAGTTCTCCTCAACCATCCCCTCCTCCTCCCCCTCTTTCTCTACCTTTACACCTCCTCCGACGCTCCCTATCACATCGCGAACCAGACAGGTAAGACACACAGAAATATAAAAAACCCCCGGCCCCTTTAGATACCGCGAAAGCTACTCCAACCCGCGCAATCTTTTCCAGAACCGTAGTTAGTACCCGCTAACCGATCGCGATCGCAGATACTGTACCCTCTCGTTTCTCACGAGCAAGAGTCGCACGCTACTACCGACTTGGGGTTTATATCTATATATATACTTTGGTACCTGTTGCGCTAGCTCGGATTATCCTATTCTATCTCCCTTGTCTGGGTGACCACCGTCTATACGAAACGCAAGCGCTACACCTGGTTCCCGCTTCGCGCCGCGCCCACCTACCTATCGTCACCTCAACTCAACCACCACTTTACTACACTATACTACACTACACTACACCAACCCCAACCCTCCAAAACCAACAATAATGCCCTCCTCCTCCTCCCCCAACCAACCCACCACAACCACCTCATCCACCACCTCCGACCTCGAATCCGACCTCCTCCAGCACCTAACAAGCACACCCGCGCTCGAAGACCTCCACGCCACACTCCTCAGCTCACTCCAACGACTCGGCTGGACAGAACGGATCCGAAAACTCGCGCAGGAACTCCTGCGCGGCGGACGATGCGAGCGATTCGACGAGGTATTCGAAGCGGTAGTAGCGTCTGCGGAGGGGCGGAAACACCCCATCCTAGCGGAGGCGAATAAAGCGAAACAACAAAGCAATGGGGACGAGGACGGTAGTAGTGGGATTGGGGATCTGGAGGCGTTTGATGTGAGGATTCCGTCGGCGGTGGTGGAGCAGGGGGTTAGGGCGTTGAAGGAGGTGTTGAGGGAGGTGGTGGTTGCGGAGGATGGGGGGGATATTTTGGGGGAGGTTGAGAATGGGCATAAGGAGGAGGGTGGTGGTGGTGGGAGTGGTGGTAAGGGGTCGAAGAATAGTAAGGAAGGTGGGGGGGATACGGCGAGTCCGGTCAAGAAGGTGAAGAAGGAGTCGAAGGCGGGGAGTAAGATCAAATGATATGTAGGTGGTCTTGCCTGTCTGTGTGGGGTGGTGTGGCGTGGGTGGTTCGTTTGTTTCGTGGCTGGCGTGTTGGTATGGTGTTTTGGTTTGGTTTATCTGGATACTTCTTGTCAGGCTATTGCTTACGGCGTTGCTTTGGTGGTTTACTACGGACGGCGTTGCATTATCCTGATACCAGCATGGGCATGTATGCATGCCTCATTATTTTGTACAACAGTGGGGGGTTGTCTACCAAGACGTGCAATTCATTTACTCTTTAAGCTTATATTATGGTACTCAGTATGCGAGACAGATATTCGCAATCTCAGAACGGGAAAGGAAAAGAAAAGGAAACTGTAACCCAATACGAATTTCGACCGGGGCTATATCCCGGCCTCAAAACCCGCTGTTTCTAAGTAGTAGTAGTGCAGATGGATAACTAACTTGGAAACATGCAACCAATCTAGTCATAGAGGCTGTCGTCATTGCCGGCTTCACCGAACGTGTTGTTGTCCGTCACCTCACCCGCCGACGGGAAGCGGAAGAAGCTGCTGCCACCCGAGTTCTTCAGGCTCTGGGCAAACGCCTCGTAGCGACGGATCTCCACGTCGCTGACGGAGCGTCTGGCCGACTTCATCGCCTCCTCGAAGTGTGCCCGGGTAAGCTCCGGCACCGGGTCCTCCTCCTCGACCTCCTCGTCCTCCATCTTGATATCCTCGCCCTGAGCCTCACGCTGCTTCTGGCGTTCAATGTCAGCGCCGATAGACTGCTTGATGGCAAGCTTGACAGCACGCTGGGTCACGAAGCCGAGATCAGCACCGGAGAATCCGTGGGTCTTGCTGGCAATGAAGGAAAGGTCGATATCGCCAGCGATAGGGGTCTTGCGGAGCTGGGCCTTGAGGATGCTCTCACGAGAGGCTTGGTCGGGCAGAGGAACGTAGACCAGGGTGTCAAGACGACCAGGACGGACCAGGGCGGCATCGAGCTGCTCAGGTCTGTTCGTGGCACCAATGACGAACACGTTCTTCTTGGAGGTCATACCGTCCATCTCTGTTTGGAAGTTAGCAACTACTCAGGTACATCGAGACAATCAACTTACCAGTCAGAAGCTGGTTGACGACACGGTCAGAGGCACCGCCGGCATCACCGACAGAGCCACCACGAGACTTGGCGATAGAATCCAGCTCATCCAGGAAGACAACGCAAGGAGCAGCGGCGCGGGCCTTGTCGAAGATATCACGGATGTTGCTCTCGGACTCACCGAACCACATACTCAGCAGCTCAGGACCCTTGACCGAGATGAAGTTGGCAGCACACTCGTTGGCCACGGCCTTGGCAAGCATGGTCTTACCAGTACCGGGAGGACCATAGAACAAAACACCGCGGGAAGGAGAAAGACCAAACTTCTGGAACTTCTCGGGGTGGTCGACAGGGTACTGGACGCTCTCGATGAGCTCGCGCTTGACCTCCTCGAGACCACCAATGTCCTCCCAACGGACGTTGGGCACCTCGACAACAGCAACCTCGCGGAGAGCGGAGGGGTTGGAGACACCGAGGGCGTAACGGAAGTTCTCCATGGTAACACCCAGAGAGTCCAGGACCTCCGCGTCAATGGTGTCCTCATCGAGGTCAATCAGATCCATCTTCTCACGGATCTGCTGCATGGCGGCCTCAGAGCACAGAGAGGCAAGATCGGAACCGACGTAACCGTGGGTCTCGGCGGCAATGGTCTCCAAGTCGACATCATCACCCAGCTTCATGTTCTTGGTGTGGATCGAGAGGATCTCCAGACGGCCAGTGGGGTCGGGGATACCGATGTCGACCTCACGATCGAAACGACCGAAACGGCGGAGGGCGGGGTCGATGGAGTTCGGGCGGTTGGTGGCGGCCATGACAACCACGTTGGAGCGGGCCTTCATACCGTCCATCAGGGTCAGAAGCTGAGAGACGACACGACGCTCGACTTCACCGTTGGTCTTCTCACGCTTAGGGGCGATGGAATCGATTTCATCAATGAAGATGATGGCAGGGGAGTTCTTCTCGGCTTCCTCGAAGGCCTTGCGCAGGTTGGACTCGGATTCACCGGCCATCTTGGACATGATCTCGGGACCGTTGATCAGGAAGAAGAAAGCGCCAGTCTCGTTGGCCACAGCACGAGCCATCAGAGTCTTACCGGTACCCGGAGGACCGTACATGAGGATACCACGGGGAGGCTTGATACCGATGGACTTGAAGAGCTGGGGGTGGCGAAGGGGCAGCTCGACCAATTCACGGATCTGAGCCATCTGCTTCCTGCAGCCACCGATGTCGTCGTAACCGACCTCGTTGAGGTTGCCCTCCTCATCCTCGCGCTGGATCGGCTCACCCTCGCAGTGGATGATGGTATCTTGGGCGACGATGCCATACTCTGGGGGATCCACCTCGACAACCTTGAATTCCACTTGTCTCATACCACCTCTTACTGTGAACAGGTCTCCCTGTCTCACGGGTCTGTAGGCTTCGCGGAAGTAGGGGGCGAGGTAGACATCGAAAAGGGAGCCAGTGAGGCCCTCAACGGTGTCGGCGATGGGGAGAACGGCAATACGCTTGGCCTGTAGATGAGAACAAGCGAGGTCAGTAAGAAGTCGCTTGGATAACGCCGAGAGCAGTAGAACTCACGTATTTGATGTCGGGGCAGGGGTGGACGGTGATGATATCGCCGTGCTTGACACGCAGGTTGTGTCTCACAACACGGTTGATGCGAGCGCTTCCGTCATCAAGATCATCATCGGCCAAAACAATCAGAACGGTGTCCTTGCGCTTCTTGCCCTTGACGAGAACGGTGTCACCCCGGAACAGCTGGAGGGTGTCCATTGTGTTGTTGGAGAGAGCAATAACGGAGTTGTCATCGTTGACGGCATCGGTGACACTAGCACCCAGACAGTCAGTACCCAACCAGCATCCCCGCACCAAGGCCAGAGCTAGCTTACATGAGGGAGTTGGGCTTCTTCTTCTTCTTCAAGATAGCCGTCGAGGTGTCGAGTTCCTATTTCGCGATGGTTGTTAGTATTCGCCATCAAGGTCCCTTCCCGTTCTGCAGACAAAAGTCTTTACCTCTTTCTTGTCGGCGCCGGAGGCGTCACTGTGCGATGAGGTTAGCTTCTTGGAACGATGTAGAAGTTGATGCCAGAGGTTCCATCACGTACTGGAGGTTCACCCTCTTCTTGTCGTGGGTGTGATCGGGTTCTGCGCTCATCTTGAGGGGAAGCTGGATAAGGCGCGTAAAGCAACGTAGACACTTGGGTACGTATCAAGGACTGTCGCTGTACCGGATTTGGTGAAGCTCGGCAACAGGGACAAAGAGGAAAATGAAGGGGGATGGGAAAACGAAACAGAGATACAAATCCCACCAGACCGAAAGAGATGGCGGAGGGAGGGAAGTAAATTGACAGGATGAGATGGGATGGCAGAGGGGGAGGGAGTTGGAAGTGAGATCGGAGGATGGCAGAGAGAGAGCTCCAGTTAAGAGGTGACGATAGTGCCAGGCCCTACCGGGGGCTTGATGACTTAAGCTGTTGCAGATTCACGAGCCACCAAACCCGGTTGCCGCCACCGCCTGGGGAGGAGAGAGAAGCGTATGGAAGCCGGTCGTATCCACTCTTGATCGTCCCCCAACTAACCACTACTACAACTAACTAGTATTTATCTGGGGTCAACTAATATTTAGGTGTTGTTTCTCCATCGTTGCTTTATAAGCCATGATGCTTTGCACAAACTGAGTCACTGTGGCTGTTTCCCCCCTCACTCTGCTGTGACTGTCGGGGATATGCGTGTGCATTGCACCGCCCGGTAACACTGTGTCCGTGTCTGTACATCTGCCTGAGGCAGCTATCCTCCCTGCATGCATGCACGGAGTGCTTCTATGACAGCCAGGGCATGGCATCAGTCAGCCTGGACCAGCCCAGGCTGTCTCTGGCTCTGCATTTCCATGCCCAAGGCACTGTCAGGACAATAGCCTTGTGGTGGGCGGCGACTGCCTTGCCGGCAACTTGCTGCCTATGAACGGGACTTCCCTATTCGGCAGACAAGGGTATACATGTACCATCGAACTGACCAGAGCCGTGTGAACCTGGCTTTCGCCCAGTTGGCGAGTTCATCAGAATACTGCTCCCCTATATAGTGCTATGTGCACACAGGGCTATGTTTGCACGCCGGGGCAACAGCTCGACCAGTCCTGGTGACTCGAGCAAATGAGTATTCACAGCAACATTCTGTCCAACATGGCCATCAGTATATAAGTTTCTGTTAACGGCCTTGTATAGCTATATACCCATCACCTGTCCATTGCTATCTCTTTAGCTAACCCCCCCATGAGCGAACGTTAATCACACTGAGACATTTCCCGCAACGCAACACGAGACTCTCTCTCCATCAGGGGACCACTGATACTACTACCGATAGATCGTTTGCTTGCCTCATTTGATTAACCTGTCCCACTCTTATAACTCTAAGTCATGGACGATAAGGCTGATTACCCCTCGGACTTCCTGCAAGCACGAAACAACACATTGACAGACGATGAGGTAAACCATCTGCTCGAGAAGCCGGGCTGCGCAGCTCGCTTCGTCTACGGAGTCCTCATGCTCCCCACAGCACTAAAATACTTCCTCGACATGCCGCAGACCACGGACATTGCCAAATGCATGATGCACGCAACTGTGTACGGGTTCAAGCTCTACCACTTCAGCCCGGACAGCACACCCGTCATGCTGCCCTCAGAGGACCCGCAGCACCGAGTCGAAGGGATGCTCATCCTCGGATTGAATGAAGAACATCGCAACAGAATCTACGAATATGAGAGCGGGCTCATGAGGCTTGTCGATGTGCGGGCACATGTCACTCAGCTGGACTCTTTCGAGGGCTACGATATTAGCAGTGTGCGGATTGTCGATGCGGGGGCGTTCGTCTGGAACCAAGAAAAGGTGGACGAGGCGATGAATGAGCTTCCGTCGACAGAACAAGGTCTGTATACCTGGCCTATGGATGGACTGTTGTGTAGCCAGATATATCGGAATATGCTTGCGGCTCAGCGCGCGTCGACGATCGATTTGGCGAGAACGTCGGCACCGAATGCTTAGGGGGTGGTCCAGCTTGCTGGGAACATGGATCCAATGAGTAGACGTTCTGGCTTGGTTACTTGGCGTTTGGTCGGTTGAGGGATCTAGACTGTCTATTTGTACGACGACTATGATTTGCTCGGGTGTCAGGTGTTGGCTTGGTAAATAAATGGATGTGTTACATGGACAGATGAGACCCTTTCCTAGCATAGCAAGCTAGTAAAATTATCCGTCTTCTCCATCCCGATCTATATCTATAGTATACCACCCTGCCAAGAACAACTAGAAAAAAAAAGAACCATACGCAATAATCGCTCAATACAACATGAAACCCACCCCAATCCCATAAGATCCCCTACTACAACCCCGTAGCGACCCAAGAATCCCAAACCTCCCAAGCCCCGGCCATAAAACTAACCAACCCGGTAAAATGCTCGGGGAACCCAATACCCTTCTCAAAGCACCAATGAAGACACAACGGCGCCCAACAAACATTATTAACGAGACTCTTCCTCCACGCCCGAATCTCCTTCCTCAACGCCTCCCTCTTCTCCTCCTTCCCCTTGACACCCTCAACTCCAGCCTCCTCCTCCTCCTCCATCTGCTTCCTTCTCCTCAACACCGTCCCCCTCCAAAGCACAAAGAACTGGAAGAAAATATGTCCAAACCACGCCCTCGTACTCCAAATATACCACTTATCGATGCCGCCCCACCGATCCACGAACCGCTTCGACACGATCCCCTTCTGCGCAAGATACCCCACGTTCTCGAGCGCCTGGTAGATCACGTTCACGAACACCTGCAGCAACGTCAGGATGTAGAGGGGTTTATCTGCCGGTGGGTGTTTCAGGGTCTGAGAGCCCCATGTCCAGAGGGGGAAGAGGCCGAGGAGGCGGAGGGTGAAGCGGGTTTCGGACATGAGGGAGGAGAGGGCGAGGAGGGGTGATTTGGAGGAGGATGATGATGATGTAGATTTAGGGTTGGGTGGTGTGGAGGATTTGTTGCGTAGACGAGCGAGCAGGCTGAGACGCGCTTGCAATGCGATCCATGGTGCTGAGGAGAGGATGTGGTGTAGTGTGTGTGCGAGGTAGCCTGTTACTGCCAGGACTCGTTCCTGGCCGGCGGCGGTGGATATGAGTCTGTTGTGTGTGGGGGGTGTCGGAGTTAGTGGGATTGAAGCTCGGAGGTGTTTGGTTTGAGGATGTTGCGAGAAGGGCAGTGGCTCACCTATCGAACCGGTCGACTGTCCGGTCTGTCGCCTTGAGAGCTGCCAGCAGCTGTTGGCGGCGACGTCCAGCGCCGGTTATTGACGATACCGGTGGTGGTGGTGGTGGTGGTGATGGTGAGCGACAGTCGTCCTGCGGGGGGTTCCCCTCATTGTTGTGTTTTTCGTTGTCCGCGACAGCAGCGGGTGGAGAGGAGGGTTCGGGTTCGTGTTCGGCCATGGTGGTCTATTCTCGCAGTGGTGATTATGTCGACATTGCTAGAGTCTGCGGACACTGGGGAGTTCGGGGACTTTATTGTCATGGGGGGAAATAGAGCGAGCGTGATCGTCAATCCAAGCATCTGACCAGCAGCTGCGCTTGGCGCGGTGCCGAGGTTCGGAATTGGCTCGGAATGATGGGTCCTGGTGGGTGGATGGATGGACCTGCCGCGGTTGGGGGGATGCCGACGGTGTGGGTTTTGCAGATTAGATGGTGATTAGATACTACTAGAATAGATACTACTTATGTTTTGATTTCCAACATCCAGATAATGACAAACTGGAGATTGCTTTTCATTATTTTAATGATTAATTAGTTAGAGAAGAAAGACTTTGCTGTGATCATTGACCTGTCGGCTTATTCTGCTCAGGCATATGAGAAATTAGTACATGAAAAGGAAATTTTCGTACCCCCACATTAGTTACTTAAGGAAAAGTAGTGTTCACGCAGGAGCCAGGATTCCGTGCTCATCCCGCGAAGAGCGGATCATCGTAATAGTAGCAACTTGATTGCCGTCACCACTGGCTGAATACCCTTCTGGCTGTACGCCAGTAATATTTCGCTGATTTTTGGGCGCTCGTATCTTTGGTCGATCATTACTTCAGGAACGGCGTTCTCTGTCCTCCTCTGCACGAGACGCGAAATCAAGGAGACAACCGCCCGACTCGTCATCTTCATCGTCCTCGTCGTAGTCTTCATCAGCATCGTCTTCTTCTTCTTCATGACCTCTTCCGGACCAATGGTCTTCTTCGTATTCTTCATTCACGGTTGCCGGGACTCTAACGATAGTACGCGGGGTGCGAGAACTGACGTTCGGGCGGCGAGGATGCTTGTTAATACTGTTCCATGCGCCTTGGGCAGTCGCTGGCTGTCCTGAGATAGTAGAGCTCCGTCGAGACGTTCCAGATGGTCCCGCTTGCGACGACCCTGCTTGCGGGTTCCTAGCGGTCGAGTTCGTGGAGTGTGAGCTAGACGAACTGCCACTTGCCATGAGCCACTCAGGAATTTCAAGATGAGGAGGCGGAAGGGGCGCGGTGATTGGTGCAGCAGATGGCTGAGTAGATTGCTGAGTAGATAGCTGAGCAGATGGAGTAGCGAGTGGTTCTATAGATTGAGCAACACCTGATGCGGTAGGAGGAGCGTTGGTAAAACAACCAGCAACGGACCCAGCAACTTGGGCAGTAAGGACCGGAAGAACGGTGGTAGTCGGTTTGGTATGTTTAGACGAACCGGACCTCTTGGTCGCCTTATCCACAAGCTTCTTCAACAGGGCCGATGGTGATTTACTGTCCTCAGCGAGCGATGTGCTTGATTCAGCTCCGGGACGTGATGGAGAGAAACGTCGGAGACCCAAGTTCCTGACAATGTTTGCATCCGATATGCTGCGGTCACGCAAATCCCACTGACTGGGAGCCCTGACAGCCGTGTCTCTGCACACCTCGTTAATGCTGCCCCATGCTCGTTCTTGAAGATGAGGTGCACAGTTGTAGCAGGCGCGATGGCTGCAAGGAGGGTAGACTGACGATTGTAGCAAGGGGCGGTCTTCGGAAAACTGGTCTGGATCGGTATTGGAGACGTCTTCGACAAAATCCACGTGCGGATTCTCGTCGTCATCGTCATCGTCATCGCCTATGCCATAGATGACTCCAGTCACAGGGAAAGCAACAAGATGTTCGGAGTGTTCTGCGGCAACTGTCTGCAGGACCCTAATTTTCTGCCACATCAATATTCTCTTCTGTATTTCCGTGTAGTGACCAGCCTTGATGGCGTCGGATATCCAAGGACTGAGGACGGGGGCCTGGCCCGGTTCCATGCGGTGGGAGAAGCCGGTGATGTCTACACCACAACGATAGAACCAACCGAGCGCCGGGACAAGGCCACAGGACTCGCATGTCTCGTGCTTGTCAAGTGCATGCTCATGAAAGACGACATCGTGTTTGCAATAGGGGTCACCGCAAGCTCTAGATTCTTCCTCATTCCACCCCGAGAACGGAGGGAAGAGACGGGGTCTGCCGTCCTCTCGACGAGCCACAAGGTTGAAAAAAGGATCAACAACCGGTTCGAAAGCAGCATGCCGATCCCATCTGACGGATGAAGGCTCACTGTTGGGGGGTGGGAGGAAGACTAGCTGAGAGGATGAGTCTGACCTTTCCGAAGGGCTCTCCTGACGTTCCTCCTCGTCCTCAGGTAATCTAGAAGACATGATTCTTCAAGTAGTTGAGTTGACCAAGTGTGACACAACGATGAAAATGGTGATTCAAAGGATGCCTCCTGATGATGAAGGCTTCCTGTGAGGAAGGAAAACACGTCTGAGTGTTCGTTGAGACATCGTGTGAGATGTGGACGTGTTAGGCCTCTTCACCAAAGACCGGGTCCAAAGGTCTCGGCACTCAAACGCCTCAAACGAGCATTTGCTATTAGATGCTTGCCAGCACGGTAGCAGAAGCATTGTGAACGCTAGGTTAACATGCACATGGCCTACAGATAAGTAGTGCCATAAAGGCAAGGCCTAGGGCTGTGATGAAGCATTCATCTCTATATAAGCAGCATTATGTGAGCTACATTTTCTGCCTGTGCAGTTGTTAGTGGATAGGAACTGTGCAGAGCAGATTTAGAATCAGAAAAATACCCAAGATGAGTGATATATTGAAAATAAGCTCGATTATTTTCTGTTCCTGGCTGCACTCGGCGTGCACCTTTTGGGCCAGTGCCCTTTCCTCTTAGGGTATAGACCATCTGGAAATACCGGATTTTTGAGATAAGCCTGAAAAGGAATCATAATGAGTTCAATACTATATATATATTCCAGATTGAGATAATGCCTGGAAAATACAGAGAATCCTAGCAGATATAGCGAGGCATCGGAAAGGTGGACATTGGAACCCTTAAGATAGATGCTTGCCCGCATGTCGGAGCTGACCGAAAGGCGGGCAGCCCGAGGCCGCGGGTATTAAAGCGGCGACATTCGCCATTTGCCGATGAAGTGACCGACAGTGAAATTATTATTGTCTTTGATTATTGACTGCTTTCCTCCTCCACATTCCCAACAGCAATAATCAATCACTGCTATCTACTAACTAACTATTCAACTATCTATCTACTCACTCACTAGTCGAATTGACTTGACCAGTTGTGTTTGGTGAAGTTGGAACTAGATTCCTGTCTCCTGTCAGCTTAGGGCAGGTGCTGGTCCCTCCATTGAATTGATCCGTGGATTAACTATTATTATTGACTGGGTCTCTCTCACTACTGCTCTTATCCGCGTTGACCTTCCCCATATTGTCTGTGTTGCTGCATCTCATTTCAGACTCGCTCAGGAACTCTTCCGACCTCGGTAAGCTTTGGCTCATCTTCCCCGAACAAACCAGCCTCCTTCCTTTCCCTTGACTCGTTCCCGTTCGTTCCTTAGCCTCGTTAAGTTACTAGTTGTTTTGGCTGGCTGCTGTTCAGCCAACAATCCCATCTTCCCTCTCCCCCTGCTACTCCTTTTCCCTGCCGTTCTATGCGGGACAGCGCATCTTCCGTCGCCAACCCCATGTTTTCCACCTAATCTCAAATCTCACCTCCCCTCTGTCTGTCTGTCTGTCCTACCTTCTTTCCCCAACCCAAAACCCACTTCATTCCTCTTCCTCTCGTTCTCCATCTCCACCAAATCTCCATTGTGGTTCCCACCCCACTCCCTTGTCTGGCTTGGCTAACCGTGTCCCGTAATATCCGTAGCTGCCGTCTTCGTGACTTTATCGTCTTCTGGCTCCCGTCCTTCTTAATTGACCATATCGCGCGCGCTTAATCTTCTTCTCTTTCCTCACCTTCAGCCTCACCCACACCCTCAACCACACCCACCAGATCAGCAAAAATGTCTGCCAAGTTCCAGGACGAGGCCGTCACCTCGATACGGGAGGATACAAAGGAATTGGTCCACAAGGTTGGAAACCGGTTGACTGGCGATGGCTATCTCGCTGTATGTTTTGCGCCTGTGTAATCGCACCCCCGATGCGTGTTTACAGTCCACTGATTGAGACAATGCGCGTCCATTATAGCTCTACCTCCGCCAACTGCAGTCGAACCCCCTGCGCACCAAGATGTTGACCTCCGGTGTCCTGTCCAGTTTGCAAGAAATCCTGGCCTCGTGGATCGCCCATGATGTCAGCAAGCACGGTCACTACTTCAGCGCCCGTGTCCCCAAAATGGCCCTCTACGGAATGTTCATCAGCGCCCCGCTGGGCCACTTCCTCATTGGAATTCTGCAGCGGGTCTTCGCTGGCCGGACTAGCATCAAGGCCAAGATCCTACAGATCCTCGCCAGCAACTTGTTGGTATGTCCGATCTGAAACCCTATTTTGACGTGCGCTTGGAATGCTGACGCGACGCAGGTCTCCCCCATCCAAAATGCCGTGTACCTGTGCTGCATGGCAGTTATCGCGGGCGCGCGCACCTTCCACCAGGTCCGCGCTACCGTGCGGGCCGGTTTCATGCCCGTCATGAAGGTCAGCTGGGTCACCTCGCCCATCGCGCTGGCCTTTGCCCAGAAGTTCCTCCCCGAGCACACCTGGGTGCCTTTCTTCAACATTGTCGGGTTCGTCATTGGAACCTACGTCAACACGCACACCAAGAAGAAGCGTCTTGAGGCTCTCCGCAAGGTAAATCAGCTACGTGACGATCCCGCCGACGCGACCAGTCGCTAACCTTAGCACGACAGCGCTACGACCAACGCCGTGGACCCGGTAGCGAGTACGACAAGGGCGACTACCGGTAAACGATGTAAATATACTGTATCTAGCTTATGACTACCGACAGGGCAGTGTGGACTTTCCAATAATGGTCAGTTAGAGCAGTCCGTTCACTCGGGTACGTCTCCCGAACCCGAGAGACTGCCGGAATGAGCGGCTGCCTCAGCCCAGCCACCTTATCGGAAAGTCCACCCTTTCGCTGTCATCCATTTCATTACACCCATGACATCCTAATCTGACCCGGATATACCTCTGATGATGGAGCTCTGGCGTCGAGATGAAGATATGTTTGCCCTGCCCCTGTTATGATGAACATGTTTTATCGATTTTCTATTCTCTTCTTCCTTGGCGACACCACCATGCTGCATACCTCTTCTGTCTATCACTGTCGCCATAGCTTTCATACCTAGTATAACAAAATACCAAGATATAAAGATTCCCCACACCATCCCTTACCATGTAATGATAATAATCATAAACCCATCCCATTTATCTACCTAACCGTCGTCGTAGACTACTAATCAAATCTCACATCAAGAATGATTAAGAAGAATAAAAAAAAAAAGAAACACCACCTACTCAACCTCCATATCCTCCCCCCTCTTCTTCTGCACCCACTCCACGAAATCATCCAACGCCCCCGGCCACGCCCCATCCGCACTCCACCACCCAAAGTTCTCATCCTCCATCGTCTTCCGCATAAACACCTCCACCTGCTCCCACAGATCCTTATTCACCGGCCTCTTCCCCCTCTCCTCCAGGAACTCAGTCCACCAATCCAACCACGGAGTCGACTCCGTGTTCCACTGTACCCCGCCATTCTGCGGCGTGAAGAACAGCCGCCATTGCTCCGCCGCAATCTCGAACTGCAGGTTCCGCTGGCCTTGCATGCGGCAGAGTGGGAAGGTGAAGCGGTACACCCGCCGGAAGAGGTCCGGTTGGATGGGAATGCGCGCGCGGATGTCCGCGGCGTGGGCGATCATTTTGTCGAGGGTGTCGGCTCTATTTCCACGTATATTAGTGTATGTTTGGAGATGTGTGGGATGGTGGATGGGGGGTATTTACCCAGTCATTCTCCAGCCATTGATGAAGCCCTCGCGGGTGAATTCGCCCATTGAGGGGGATTTGAGCAGTTCGGCAATTCCTAGACACGCTACTTCGTCGAGACCGACTTTGATGTCGCCCAGGTATTTCATCGCTCCTTCGATGCCGATCCCGTCTGGGTTGTCTTCTGGGGCATCTGATGGAGGTTAGTTTTGGACATTTATGAGGAAGGTGGTGGGAGTGGACGAACCTCGATAACTGTCGAAGATCTTGCTCAGTGAGGATGTGCTACCGCCGGCGCCGGAGGAGCTTTGGAAGTATCTGGAGGTGAGGTTGGAATTAGCGACTGTTTGAGATCAGTTGGTTGAGTCATATGGTGGTGAGTGTATGAAGCAGAGGGTGTAGAGAGTGCTGAAGTGGGTGGAACTCTGATGCATGCTTGGATTTCAACACGCAGGCTGGGTGGTCTCATGTGTAAATGTCCCGTTCTTTCTGCTTTTGTGCTAGGCATCCTGCAAGAGCAGTATTTTTTGGACCACTAGGTAAATGGAGATAGACCTCAAGGCAGATTCTCTAAGCGCACGGATGCCAGGTAAAGTGTAGGAAACTCTGGCTGAACGATATCGATGTCGAAATTTGATAACAGACATACTACACGCTTGTGGAGGTCTCTTGTCTGAAGCTGCCATGTGAATAACGTTCAGAGATAGCAGAGACTTGATCGACAGTCGTTTACTGCACATCGCATGCGACAGAGTGACATCTGACAGCGTCAGATTTACGTCTTCAGCTGTATCCGCCATGGCTGAACAATGAGATGTTTCAGGATGGCCTGCGCCAACACCTAACAGTACCTTGATTCAGTCCCGCCGGACGAGGGATACAGACAGATGAGACGACGCCAGGCCTAACGTATTGAAATAACCAAGCGAGGTATAAGATGACCAGGTCCCTTGGACCGTGGGCCACAAGAGTGGAAACGCGATAGCATAGCCAGGAAGTAAAAGAGAGGGAGAATAGAACACAAAAGCATATACTCACGCATCAATAGCTTGTTCCACATTCCAGCGAGATGCTTTCAAGAACTATGTGCATGCGACGAGTCAGTCATGGAGGAACACGTGATGAGCGCAGATAAGACTGGTTGGGCGATATGGCATCTGCCGAAGGAAGGGCAAAAGAAGCAATGAGACAGTGTATACCTTTGCAGCTACTGCATCTTTGGCTTGGGTGAGGTTCACGAATTGCATTATACATTGCTTTTGAGCAGTAGAGTAAGGCGGCATGGTGGGGTGAGGCAGGCAAGTGGCCTGCGGGGAAAATATTGGCAGATGGAGGGGGTGTAGAGGCTCGTTAGGAAGCCAACGAGAGAGTGAAGATGTGAAAGGTTGGTGGCTGTGAGCACACTGGCTGCAAAGGTGAGGAAATATACAGAAGTGTTGTTAATCCGCTGCTGAAATGACTGGATGGGGAAACTTCACATCTCCGAATCGAGCTCGCTGAGTGAGAGGTGCCCGTGCACGTGCCCCGCATCTAATATTCTAATCTTCTGCCAGCTTCACATCACATTCCCCAACACCACCACTTACGTCTGCCATCTGGTGGAATTGACTTGCTATTCAATATTCTAGGTGATACAGCAATGTCTGTAACAGTCTAGTCTACTTTTATCATGCTACGGATGTCCGGCAAAGCCGAAATCACAGAAAAATCATGAGATAATAGATGGATAAGGTGAATTGAGAAACACTTTTCTAAATGTACAGACAGACGACTCCAGAACTCCTGCGAGAATGCCCAGGTATCTAGTATGAATCTCCCATGTTCGATCCCGCGTATGCAAGGCTTTGGCTTAGGTCGTAAACAGAGTATCTTCCTAAAGGAAAGTTAGCAAATTGATACGGTGGATATGACACTTCGTCAACCTACCTCTCTCAGGTACTCTCCAATATCTGCCTGACGGAACACCACGTTGGCTGTGGGCTCCAATCTCCGGGTCTCAGCACTCGACCGGGCAGTCACACCGAATCCCTATTGTCTATCAGCCTGGGTTACCTCAATCCAGCCAAGGGCCTCTTACCAATGGCGTATCATTCATATCCATAACAATCACACCAGCATTCTCCGGGCAGTCCTCGCTGAATCTTCCGACGTGGGCCTTGGCCACGTTGGAGCCATAGAGGAACGGCATCACACCGTTCTGCTTGATCCACACCTTGTAGCGCGCATGGGGAGCGAGGACATCCAAAGCCGTAAGCTGGATTCTGAACTTTCCGGTCTTGGTGAACTTTCCGATGCAGGTTCCGAGGGTGAGGAGGTTGGCGCGAGGGATGCTGGTTGCGAGGTTCGCCAGGGAAAGTCTCAGGTAGTATACTCTGCTGCCGTGAAGACGGAAAACATAGCGGTCGTTGGCATCTTCGGAGCCAGAAGGAGGAGCGATCAAGTTGTTAAGACTCCTTCCAGTGTAATTGGCCAACTTCTCGAACAAAGTCCGGGTTTCCTCTAGTCACAAATGTTATGAGAACCCATGCGCAAGAATCACAACAGACGGGGATGGTTGCACCTACCTTCGGTGAGTTGACGCATCTTGAAAGACTATTTCAGTTCACTGCACTAGATGCGAAAACTGAAAAGAATATCAACAAGCAGAAAAGCGCAGGAGGGTTTCCAGACGCGATTGCGATGCAGCCTTTGTAAGTCGAAGCTCCGCGGGAACAAAAATTCTAGACAAGGTGGAGCGGCCGCCTTTAGCGTCCAGGTCTTGGCACCGCAGGAAAAAAGTTTCGGACAGTCAACCCGCGCAAACAACTTGCCGCTACCACACCCCAGAATATACCCCAGGCACCGCGAAATGGCTCCTGCACGTACGACTAAACGGAGACGGGTGAGCCCTCCTGGAGATGAGGAGCGTGGCTCCAAATCCTCGGGTGGTGCGTCTACCAGCGACTTCTACAGCAATGCCGCCGAGTGGGACCTCGAACAAGACTATGAGCAGCGCCCGCGCAAATTGGGCAAGAAGGACAAGGAACAAACGAGATTGCCTATCAAAACTGCGGAGGGTCTACAAAATGTGGCAGAACCGGAACCTGAGCCGGAGGCTGAAGAATCCGACAGCTTTCTGGGTACCGATGACGACGAGGATATGGAGGATGCGGATTCCGATGAAGATGAGGAAGAGGTTGAAGAAGAGAAGCCGAAGATCCCATTGAAGCTGCAAATTATCCAGACCAAGGAGGAACTTGCCCGACTTGCTACGTTGATTAACGAAGATCCGGAAGACAACATGCCGCTGTTCAAGACAATGGCCGAAATCATGGAGAGGGGAGAGCATGTTGCGATCAAGAAACTCGCCTTGGCCGCCCAGGCCGCAGTGTACAAGGACGTTATTCCTGGCTACCGAATTCGACCCCTCGGCGACGAAGACCTGTCCGCGAAAATCTCCAAGGAAGTGCGCAAGCTACGGACCTTCGAACAATCCCTCCTTTCGAACTACAAACATTACGTCCAGAAGCTGGTGGAACTCACGAAACCAGCCAAGAAGGACGGCCCCCAGGTGGATCCTGGCCTCAAGAGCATTGCGATCAACTGCGCCTGCAACCTTCTCCTTTCCGTGGCGCATTTCAACTTCCGTAGCGAGCTCTTGAAGATCCTCGTCAACCGCCTCGCCCGTAAACAAGTCGATGCCGATTTCGTCAAATGTCGCGAGACAATGGAGGAGGTTTTCATAAGGGACGAGGACGGAGTCGTGTCCCTCGAGGCTGTCCGCCTACTATCGAAGATGATGAAGGCCAAGGAATTCCGCATCAACGAGACCGTCCTGGATACCTTCCTCCACCTCCGTCTGCTGTCCGAATTCTCCCGCAAGGCGTCAAGAGACAGAATCGATCGCGAAGAAGAAGAGGAGACCCCGCAATTTGGCAAGAAGCCCAAGCAGAAGCGCGAGTTCCGCACCAAGCGAGAACGCAAGGTCCAGAAGGAGCGCAAAGCAGTCGAGAAGGACATGAAGGAGGCCGACGCCCTGGTCTCCCACGAGGAGAGAGACAAGAACCAGGCAGAGACACTGAAGCTCGTCTTCGGCGTCTACTTCCGAATCCTCAAGCTCCGCATCCCCAAGCTCATGGGCCCCGTCCTCGAAGGTCTGGCCAAGTACGCCCACCTGATCAACCAGGACTTCTTCGGTGACTTGCTGGAAGCACTCAAGGACCTGATCGGCCACGCGGATCGAGCCGAGGAGGAAGAAGAGGAAGAAGAGACAGACGAAACCAACGAAGCGGAGCCAGCCACGACACGCGACGCCCAGCGCGAAGCCCTCCTCTGTACCGTCACAGCCTTTGCACTCCTGGAAGGACAAGACGCCAGCAAGGCCGCCAGCACACTCCACCTGGACCTGAGTTTCTTCGTAAAACACCTCTACCGCTCTCTCTACAACCTCTCCATCAACCCCGACGTCGAATTCAACCCCGACAAATCCCTCCGCCTCCCCGACCCCAACTCCCCCGAAGCCAACCCTGCCTGGCGATCCAGGAAGAAGGTCAACTTCCAAACGCCCATGGTTCTGCTCCTTCGCTGCTTGCAATCCACTCTTATCTCCCGCGCACACGGAATGCCCCCTCCCGTCCGCCTAGGCTCTTTCTCGAAGCGCCTGATGACATCCTCGCTCCAGCTGCCCGAGAAGTCCGCCCTCGCGACACTGTCGCTCATGAACCAGGTGGCCAAGCATAATGCACGCCGCATCTCCTCACTGTGGCACAGTGATGAGCGCAAGGGAGACGGTGTGTTCAATGCGTATGCCACTGATATTGAGGCGACTAATGTCTTCGCGGGCACGATCTGGGAGGGAGAGTTGTTGCGCCAGCATTACTGTCCTCAGGTTCGGGATGCTGCGTTGGATGTAGAGAAGATGATTGCGACGCGGAAATAGAGTCATTGCATTTAATTAGCGGGTCAATTTTATCTATCATATCTTACGCGTTTTCCAACTTCTCTCTTATATCTTTTTTTTTATATTCATTATTATTATCATTATCTGTTCACCATTCCCATAGAGTATCCGATACCCGGTAAAATGAAACGAATGAGATAACTCAGAGAAAACCCCCCTTTTTTTAACTTCCTTTTCCTCCAACTCCGAATCCATAAATATGCCCTTACAACACCATTGACACCTCACCTCACTCTCATCAATAATCTCATAATACCCGCTCAATGAGATGCCAACGAAAAAAGAAACATACCCTCGCTCGTCATGATAAAACTCAATAAAACATAAAGTCATGACATCGTCCACCTCATAAGTAAAGAAAACAAAAGAAGTAATTGACTGAGACTTGACTGACAGTTCAGCCATTCAGCCAGCCATTCCACTATCATCAATCATACTTTCTTCACCAACCCATCACCATTCAAATCTAATCACTCGTCGACCCTCTCCAACGTCCCACTCCGATGTCTACCAGACCCCTCTCTCTTCCGTCCAAGACTAACAGTAGTAGTAGTGGTATTGGAGGAAATCAGCTCAAGCGGAAGCGGAGGCGGACGACGAGGTCTTGGAGGGGGTCCACCAGTACGACTACCAGTACTACCCTGCGAAGGCGATAGCCCGACAGGAGTAGTATTAGTAGTAGTAGAACCAATAGAGCCAGACGCAGTCGAGGCCGGAACAGGATGTCTGAAAATCGGGTACGGGTTATCGAAGCCCTGCTGCTGCTGCTGGGGAGTTGAGTTCAAGCTGCGAGATGGCACAGCAGGCAACCTATTCTTGTAAACGTCTGGAAGAGGCCAGCCGTGCAGAGTAGGAGGTGAGGAGGAGGTACTATCAGGAGTAGAAGTGCCAGCACCGCCGATTGAAGAGTGAGATTTCGATAGCTTGAGCACGCCGGGACGTCGAGCGGGCGTTGGACTTGGAGTTGTCAGCATGGCTAGCTGGTGCTTCTCGAGACGGATGCGTTCGAGGTCGCGCTCGGCGAGGATTTTGCTTTGCTCGGGGGTGCGTAGGACTGGGTGGATGGTGCTGGGGTCCAGGCTTGGATCGTGGCTGGGATTTGGATTGGGGGTGGTAAGTTTGTCCTGTGCCTTGTTGTTGTCGACAGGTTGAGGTTTGTTCTCCTGCGTGCGGCTGGCGTTACTGTCATTGTCACGGTGACGAAGTAGGTTGAAGAAGCTGCGTTTGGGTGCAGGTTTGTCCATCTTGGGCTGTGCAGCAGATGTGAGTAAGGCTTCGGCTTGTTCGATTGCTGGCACGAGCAGGTCGGGCAGATCGAGAAAAGTAGATGCTTTGGGAGTGGGGGATCCTGAAGTGTCCTCATAGTCATCTTTCCAGGCAACTCGCTTTTCAGTGATTTGGTGATGGTGGTCTCTGACGCTCAGGTAAGCGGAGGACGAGCTATTCACAAGACTGGCACTGCGTAACACGCTCGACGGGGCTGCTTGTTTTCTTTCTTTATTTTCCTCTTGCTCGTGCTTCTTCTTCATCTCACCATACTTCCTATCTTCTGTTCTCGGCAGCAACTTGTCCCTCCCATCATCCTGCGCGCTCAAGTCTCGGTTCACCATCAAAGGAATCGACGGGCCCTGCAGCCCAGGACTGGGGGTCAAGATGCCCTCAGATGCTGGGTTGCCAGGGCCAAGCTTACCCTCCTCTTGGAGGTCGTACCTGAGCTTGCCAATTTCCTCGTGGATGGCAGTGATGATTTTCGACTTGATGACGCGCACTTCGCGTCGCAGCGTGTCGATATGAGCCCTGACATCCGCAACGGCCGTCTGTGCCTCCTTCAGTAGCTCAGTCTGAGCAGCTGCTTTCTTGTTGATGGCCTGAGCTAGGTCAACCATCGTGTCCACATGGCGAAGAACTTGGTCCATGTGCCAGGCGTTTTTGTCCTCGAACGTCTTGACGAGTTTACTGGCCGCATGCTGCACGTGGAAATGGAGCTGCTCTACGTGCGAAGCAAGTTGCTCCTCCAGCGCCGCCGTGTTTTGATAACCTGGGTCTGGTGGCGTAGGGGCGAAGCCACCCCGACCAGTGGAACCCAGAAGCTGCGCTCTATCGACAGGGACCTGAGTGGTAACGTATTCGCTAGACGAGCCATCAGGACCAGCGTGGAACGTCGACGCAGGAGACGCCAATTTCGACAGACGGGTGTCGGAACCTTTCTTGACGGACGAGTCACCGTCCCGGGTTGGCGTGAGCGAAATGACTTCCTCTATACTGGTCACCCCGTGATCGCGACGTGGCAGGTCGGACGTTCTATCAGACAAGATCGTCTCATACACCGATGGGGAGTACGTGCGTGCAGCTTCGCTCTCGCGGACCGTGGATGCCGCACTCTTGGGAGACGCTGGCTCAGCTGCATAACTGCATGCGCGTTGAGGTGTACTGACGACCTCGGGCAGTCTGCTATTTCTGAACTCTCCTGTACGGGCAGCTGGTGACGATCCGCTCAGGAGAACGGCATCGAGCAGAGTCGAAGTATGTCCCTCTTCTGCTTGATTGCTGTGGATGAGCGAATGTTTGAATCTAGCGCCTTCACCACCACCACCACCACCACCACCACCATCCTTCATGGGCGTACGCACAGAAGAATCCGACGCCTTATCGAAATCCTTCAAACAATCATCCAACCGTATCACACTTGACTTCCGTGATAGCGACGATGACCCCGAACTCACCTCCATCACCCTAGGTCTGGGAGTGTACAGCCTCTCGACTTCGAAATTGTTCCCCTTTGCAGCGAAAGAATCTAAAGAAGAAGAATCATCCCGGAGGATAGTGATTTTCGGCATCGTACTTGCCGGTGGGACCTCCTTGCGAAACTCCTTCTTTAGGTCCTTGAAACTGAGCTTGGCCTTGAGAGCCTTGAAGGTTGATTTCTTTTCCGACTTTCTCTCACCAGTCGCTGATGTTGATGCTGCCGCCGCTGTCAAACGACCCGGTTCAGTGAACGAGCGTTTCTTAGCAATGCCTCTGCTCCAGAGACTTCCACTCCCGCTTCCACTGGTAGGCAAGCTAGGGGGAGTGTCGTTTACAATTGAGTTGGCTCGAGCAGTGCGAGGATTTGGCATTGGTAGAGCGAGGTCGGAATCGAAGTCCAATTTGCCTAGTTCTGGCGAGATCGTTTTAACTGTTTCTTTTTGTTAGCTTTCTTTCTTTATTCCCTTCCTTCCTTGCAGTATGAGATGAAGAAAAGAAGCACACATACCACTTTTCATCGAGGAAAGACTACCCTGCTCGGTATCACCGCTCAATCTCATCTGTTCTCTCTCCTTGGCCCGTCGCAGAGCCCACGCATTTCCCTCATTGACCGACATGATGAAGAAGCAGTATGCTAGCATGGTTAGCTGTGTCTTTTTACTTCTCTAATTATTTCCTTCTTTATCGATTCAAGTTCCCCAGGATGAATCAGAACTCACCAGCTTAATCAAGTCCAATCAATGGATGGAACTGGGCTCTGTATTAGCACAGTGAGCAATCTGACTCCTCAATCCTAACAAGAAGAAGATAATACTCTACCTTTCCCAATCAAAACCAACTTAACTCAAACTCAAAGATTAGGCTCCTTCCCTTCCCTATCCCTAATCTTCTGGTTCTCCCGTTCACGCAGACGCTGCCAAAGCTGAGCGGAACGAAAAAGGATCAAAAAAAACGTGGCACGGTAAATCACAGCAGGACGCATTGACGACTAAGCTGTGAGCAAATGGGAATCAATCAATCTTGAATGATGCGATGTGATGTGCGTACGTATCGACGACTAAGCAAAGCAACGCAAAGCAAAGCAAAGCAAAGCACAGCGTAACGTAACGTTAGTAGTGGTAGTAAGTTCTATCCGTATCTGAATTCGTGATGAAGGCGTATCGTGAAGATGAAAATCGAAACGAGACGCGACAGAACGCAACACAACACGAAGATGGATGGATGGATGAATGATACGAGATGAGACGAGGAAACGAGGAGTGAGTCGGTAAACAACATTCTCTACTAGATGTATGCAGATGTGTTTTGTCTGTATGCATGTTTGCATGTTATGTGGGCGCTGGTGTTACTTGTTTCTACTGCTGTGGGTTTGGGGGATATGTGTGGTTGATAGGGCGAGTGAATGAGCGCTGGACTTGGGGTTGGGTTCGGTCTGCTTGATATCGCTGGTGTGCTTTGGGGGAAGAGGGTGGCTGGGAGGGATTGGAAGGTGGTGAAGTCGTGTGAATCTTTGTTTCTACTATGTGCTCTGTAGGGTTACAGGTTTTGGGTGGTGTGAGGGGTGAGGTGTGCTGAAGGAATGGGTTAAAGGAGATGGATGTGTCTGTCTTTATAGGAGTTTATATTAGAGACTGGGCTTGTATTTGAATACTGAGGTCGCGAGAGTTATATCTTGTATCTGATGATGTAGATCATAGGGTTCGGGAAGGAGAAACTACAACGCATGCTTGATCTTGGTTGTCTTCATGTGTAGGTGGTCTAATCTTGGGCATTATGTGAAAGTGGTGTAGTTAAGGTAGAAAGAGGTTGTTTCTCCAGAGTGTACTGTTTTCCATCGTAAATTAGGGTGCTGGGGGGATATTTCAAAGGAGTGGTTATTGGAGATTCCTACGATGGAGTAGCTCTCAGCATACAGGCACGAGAGCAACAACCAACCTTTATAGGCTAAGTCAAGGTCAAGGATAGGTCCCACATATCTACTAGCTAAGATTCTTAAAGTATTTCTAACATCATATCATTATATCATATCATCATGCACATCATTACATACTGGCAGAAAACTGCAACAGAACTACTACCAATCTGACAAAAGGAATGAACGATTTAAAAATGCGGAATCAATAATTCAGACAATTTGAGAGGAGAGCGAAACAGCTCGACAGCAGAATACCAAATACAGGGGAATCGATGGAGAAACTGGTGGGCGCGCGAACTCGGCAACTTCGAACAATCATCGGGTATATGCATGCCAAACAAATGCTAGCAATGGTGCAGCAAAAACGCTCATCAAGAACAGATTCCTGAACCATATTAGCTTTGGCAACCACAATCATGAACAATAAACGTCTCGGTCTTCAACACCCGACACGACTCTACTGGTTGTTCCTCCCACGGCGACGGAACGGCGAGAAAATAGCCCCAAAGAAATTGGTGAACACAGCCCGAAGGATGGTCTTAAACCAGCTGTCATGTTTACGGTTCAGAGAAACAGCTGTGACTGACCGGTTTTGACTTTGGGCACGATCTTCCTCGTCGCCCTTGGTGGCAACTGCCTTGTCGGCGGCATTCTCGGACGGCGCGGCGGGCTCGGTGGCGGGCTGGGACTCGGAAGCCTTCTTGGTCTGGTCTTCGGCATCGTCTTCGACATGGGGCTGTTGGGTGGATGCAGAAGGCTGCTCGGTAGAAGGTGCCTCGGTTGCTGCTATGACAGGGTTAGCTCCATATTCGGTAATTTCTAGCTGATTCGCTGCAGGACTTGAGAGGTGCTTACGCTCGGTAGGCTTGTTTTCGGCGACGACTGCCTTATCTGTGCTCTCAGGCTGGACGGGAACTTGCTTGGACTCAACGTGCTCAGGAACAGCTTCGTGTTCCTTGTGAGTGGCCGCATACACTCCGGCGGAAATGGCAGCACCGGCAGCAACAGTAGCAACACCTGCACCAAGAACCTCAGGGCTAAAGATGCTATCCTTGGCAGACTCCTCAGGAGCGGCCTCCTTGGCCGTCTCAGAAATAGGCTCTTCGTGTGCTGTCACAATGTTGGCCTCGACAGGAGCCTCGACCTCGGTAGGCACAGGCACTTCCTTGGCTTCAGGCTCAACCGGGGCCGGCTCACTGACAGTTTCAACCTGGACAGGTTCCTCCTCCTCGACACTAACAGCCTCAGCAACTTCGGCCTTCGGGGCTTCCTCGGTAGCAGCAGGCTCGACAACAGTCTCAACTGCAGCCGGTTCATCCTTAGGAGCATGCACCGGCTCGGCAACCTGTTCCTCAACCTGTGCGACAACTTCCTCCGCAGCCTTCTGCTCCTGTGGCTCTTCGGCCTTGGCGGTTTCTTCGTGGGTCTCAGGGGCAGGCTCTGCGGCAGCAACCTCCTTCTCGACCGGAGCCTCAGTAGCTTCAACAGTTGCGGCCTCAACAACCGGTTCGGTAGCAACGGGCTCCTGAACAGTTGGCTCAGAAACCTTGTCGACAACCTCCGCCGCCGCGACTGCTGCAACAGCCGCAACAGCAGCCTCAGCAACGGCCTCCTTCTCAGAGTGCTCGGTGACCGACTCAGCTGCCGCTTGTTCTTGGGCAACTTCCGCAACCGGCTCCTCAGCAGTCTCCTTTTCGGCCTCATGAGTAACAGGCGCCTCGACAGCAGGTTCCTCGATGGCAGCCTGTTCAGCTGGCTCTTGAGTCACCGGCTCCTCAACGGCTTCCTTAGCGACGGGTTCTTCGGCAACAGGTTCCGTGGCGGCAGCCTCCTCAACGACAACCTCCTTCACAGCAGGTTCCTCGACAGCCTCCTTAACAGGTTCCTCGACCACAGGCTCTTCAACAACAGGCTCCGTGGCAGTAGGCTCCTCAGCGACGACCTCTTTGACGGGTTCCTCGACAGCAGGCTCCTCAACAACAGCCTCCTTAACAGGTTCCTCAACAGCAGGTTCCTCGACGGCCTCCTTAACAGGTTCCTCGACCGCAGGCTCTTCAACAACAGGCTCTTCGACAGCAGGCTCCTCGACAGCAGGCTCCTCAACAGCAGGCTCCTCAACAGCAGGCTCCTCGACAGCAGGCTCCTCGACAGCAGGCTCCTCGACAGCAGGCTCCTCGACAGCAGGCTCCTCGACAGCAGGCTCCTCGACAGCAGGCTCCTCGATAGCCTCCTTAGCAAACTCCTCGACAAGCTCTTCGGTGACTGGCTCAGTTTCCTTGGTCGACTGGTTGTCAAAAACGATCTCATCTCCAGCAGTCGTAGCGACAGTAGACTCAGCCAAGTTGGAGGACTCGTCCGTCGACTCGTCCGCGACAGTGTCCTCAATGGGCTCCTCCGTCTGCTGGGATTCTTGCACAGTAGACTCCTCCACGGTAGGCTCCTTAGTAGATTCCTCGGGAAGGGTTTCTTCAGGCTTGGTCTCCGCGACGACTTCCTCCTTCACTGGCTCTTCAGCAGCCGGAGCTTCAGCTGTATGCTCAGGCTCTTCAGCAACCGCCTCCTTGGTCTCTTCAGCAGCGACCTCGGCAGTCTCCTGCGACTCGGGGACTGCGGGAGCAGCTTCATGAGCAGGCTCCTGGGGAGCCGGGACTTCCTCCTTCACGGTCTCTTCATGTGCAACCGTCACTTCAGGCTCGTCTTCCTTGACGGGTTCTTCTTCCTGAACTGTCTTCTCGGCCACAGGTTCCTCGACGACCGGCTCTTCAACAGCCGGTTGGTCGACAACTTCTTCGGCCGGAGTCTCCTGAGTAGTCTGTTCGACGACAGGCTCTGGCGCGGTTTCCTCGGTCTGCGTGGTGGTTGCTTCAGGGGCGGGCTCCTCGACAACAGGCTTCTCAGAAGCCGGCTCCTCAGCAGCTGGCTGGGCAGATGCCTCGGCCTCTGTAGCGGTGGCTTCAGCAACAGGCTCTTGAGCAGGCTCTTCAGCAACATCCTTGGCTGAAGTCTCCGTGGCCGGTTCCTCAACTGCAGGCTGGGCGGTCTCTTCAACAGTCTCCGAAGCGACGGTCTCAGCAACGGGCTCTTCCGCAACCGCCTCAGCCACTGCTTCCTCCGCAGCAGTCTCCTTGGGAGACTCCTCAGCCGTCTCTGGAACGGAAGCCTCGACAGCAAATTCTTCTGCGGCAGGCTTCTCAGCCACCGGTTCTTCGACAGCCGAGTCAACCTTGACAGCTTCTTCAGCCACCTCCGTGGTCGAAGTCTCGACAGGTGCCTCTTCTGCAACAGTTTCAGTCGCTACCTCCTCGACAGGGGTATCCTTAGCAGGAGTTTCCGTAGTCTCTTCAGCCGGAGCATCAACAGCAGCCTGTTCGGTAACAGGCTCGTTAGAAGACTCCTGTTGGACAGGCTCCTCCTTGGCAACCTCTTCAGCGGTTTCCGTGACCTGTTCAACGGGCTCCTCTGTCGGCTTCTCCGTGACCGGTGGCTCGGCGTTTTCGGTGGTTGCCTCTGTAGGGTGCTCCTCTGCGGGCTCTGCAGTCTTTTCCTCTGTCTCAATCGAAGCTTCAGCTGCACCTTCAGATGCCTTCTGTTCAGCAGGCTCTTCTGTCTTGAGCTCCTCAACCTTCTCCGCAGCAGGTTCAGCATGCGCTTCTTCCGCAGACGGTTCAGTGGGCTCATCAGCAACTGGGGTCTCGGTGACAGGCTCGGTGGCCACCTCCGCTGTCTGTTCAGAATCGGTGTTCTCGAGGACAGATTCTTCGACCGGGGCCTCGGAAGGTTGAGGGGCGGCGGATTCCTCCTCAG